ATCTTCTACCTCGTCCCCAGCGGGTATATAACACACCCAGGGGGCCTGACCGCCCAGAGAGGGAGCACCCGGAGGCTGTCCACCTTACTCCTCTCTGTATCCCCAGTGGGACCAGTAAGAGCTCTCTCTCAGCTGCGAGTTAGGGGACAGAAATCCCAGTCTGGAGGGCAAAGATGTGCCCAAAGGTCCCAGGGGCAGGTTGGAAGTCATAGCAGGTAGGCAGATTTGGGACAAACACGAAGAATAGCTTTCTAACAGTGGGAAGGGGCAAGGGGAGCTGATATTTTTTTTTAAGATTTTATTTATTTGAGGGGCACCTGGGTGGCTCAGTCGTTAAGCGTCTGCCTTCGGCTCAGGTCATGATCCCAGGGTCCTGGGATCGAGCCCCGCATCGGGCTCCCCACTTGGCGGGAAGCCTGCTTCTCCCTCTCCCACTCCCCCTGCTTGTGTTCCCTCTCTCACTGTCTCTCTGTCAAATAAATAAATAAAATCTTTAAAAAAAAAGATTTTATTTATTTGACAGAGAGAGAGAGAGAGAGAGAGAGAGCACAAGTAGGAGGAATGGCAGGGAGAGGGAGAAACAGGACCCTGGGATCATGACCTGAGCCAAAAGCAGACGCTCAATTGACTGAGCCACCAGGCGCCCCATAAGGGAGCTGATATTTTTCAAACCCTACTACTAGGTATGCTGTATAAATGTTATTTCATTCCATTTTTACAACATGCTTCTGGAAACCAGGTTATCATGCCCAGTTTTCCACTAAAGAGTCGAAGACACAGATCATTCAAATAATTTGGCCAAGGTCACATAGCTAGGGATGTCTGCAATTCCTATCCAGGTCCACCCCACAATGGAAGGGGCTATAGGAATGAGGTAGTGACCTCGCTGCTTGGGGGGTATGCAAGCGGCTCTTCTAGCAGAGCCTGCGGAAAGGTCTGTGTCCTGTGTGTGGGTGTGTCTGGGAGGCCGGAGAGGGCAGATGACACGTGAGTGCTCCCAGTCCTAGGAATCTAGGACCTGTACACAATTTTGGAACCTGAGGTCCTGGGAGGCTGGGACTTGCAGATTCTGTAGGGCCGGTAACATCCACTCTCTTAGACCATGAGCTTCCTGCCCAGCCTGGAAGCAATAGTTCAGGGCCCCTGAGGTTGAGATTAGGGGGCTGAAAGACACATAGGTCCCTCAGTTTCCCTTCTCTCCCCATCCCCCATCCCCCCGACCCCAGAATCTTCTCTGTCTCCTGTTGTCAGCAAAGGTGCCACCGGGAAGAAGGGAGCGTGCACCTCCTTCCCACAGAGGCAGGTTCCTCCTCAAGGAGGCAGGGCTGATCCAGGGTGAGGAGGCAGGGAGATTCTGTGGTGCCAAGCTGAGAGGGGGCAGCTCCCCCTGCCAGGGGGATCTCTGGCCAGGGCTGGCCTACTGGGACCCCTCTTGCCCAGAGCCAGGCCTCAGGACCCGGCATTAAAGCATTTCCTGTACCCAACCCCTACTCCATGCAGTTCAGTGCTGCCTCCACCCCTCCTGCCTCTAGCCTCAGTTCCCCCCAATCCAGAGGGGTCTTTGTAAAGACAAAGTCATTCCTTTGCTTGAAACCCTCTGTGGCTCCTGCCTATTCTCAGGCAAAAACCCTGCTCCTCCTCGGTCTGGCACTGGAGGTTTCCCTAACCCAGCCGCTGTCGGCCGCACCAGCCCCATTCTCTGGGACCTGTGGTTTCCTGCACGCACCGAACACACACTCCCAGCAATGGTTCATGGCGCTCCTTCAACCTGGACTCCATTCACACCCCTCACCTCCACTTGCTGCAATGACAACTTTTTATCCTTCAGCACAGCAAACTCCAGTGGTTAAGAACCTGGCCTCTGGAGCCAGACCACCTTTGTTGCCTCATCTGTAAAATGTGGCCATTAACCCACATCATACAACTGCTGTGAGGATTGAGTCACTTGATTTGTGTAAAATGTTTGGAGTAGCACCTGGCACACAGTAGGTACACTGTGGTGGTATGAGCTACAAGGCTCAGCCCAGATGTGGCCTTCTCCTGCAATCTTCAGGAAGCTCTCTCAGGTCACCAATGGGGGAGGCTGTACAGCAGGGGAGAGTGGCGGGCCGAGGGAGTGACACTAAGGCCCAAGCTGGGGCCAGGCCTGGGGACCTGAGAGGGGAGAGATCTGGAAGGGTTAGGGACAGAGGCCAGAGAGACTGGCCCAGAGGGCGTTTGGGTAGGGAAGGGGCAGGCGAGGGAGGCTGGCCGGATGCCTGGAGGAGGAGCAGGTGTAGGGAGAGGGGCACTCGTTATCAGACATGACAGTGCCTAGGCCTGGCAGGTCTCTCCTCGGGGTCAGGGCCCTCTCCCCCCACCCCGCCCCTGCCCCTGCCCACCCCAAGCCATAGTCAGTGTCTCCACACAAAGATTTTCTTGCTAATCACTAAGGGTGGAATCTCCGATTCTAGTGAGCAGGGTGGAGACTTCCCCAAGTCTCTCACGAACCGAGGAAGCTGTCCTTTCCACCTGTTTCAAGACATCCTGGCCTCTACCCTCTCAGGCCAGCTGGGGACTCCATTGCCTTGGCCCCCGTCCAGAATGACCCTGCCTGCCCTCTCCCTCCACTGGCTGGTCCACCAACCTGTGAGTACATCTCTCCTGCCCCCCCAACCCCTGCTTATGAAGACAGTGAAATCCCCAGCCCTCTCCCTTGGCCCTCCGCTCTGCCTCTCCTCACCCCTAATGCCCTCGGGGTCTCACCCCTAGCTCCCTAGAGACCAGCTTCCACCTAACTTTGTCCAACACCACTTGCCAGCCCCTCTGTGCCCAGTTCTGGCTGGCCCTGCCTTGTAAGTGCCCTGCCAGGCTTCCCTGCCTTTGCTCATGCCGTTCTTTCTGCCTGGAAAGCCCTTCCAGAACCCACTCACACTGTACCTCATCTTGCCCACCCCTCCAGGCTCTTCTCAAATGTCACCCTATCTCTGAAACTCTCCCCCTCCACAACCCCCGATATTCCTCACACCCTGTTGGGAATCTGTCCTTCCACCCTCTAACCCAACACATTCCAGGTACTCCCAGAGGGCTGGGTCCATCTGGTTCTTTTCTCTGTCCTAATCATCCAGCAAGAGGCCTGATCCAGAGCAGGTATGACATGAATGAGAGAATGAATGAATGAAGCAAGCACAAGAAGATATAGGAGTCCAGAGGAGGCTGAGCTTTATGACAGTGGCCCTCCTTTCCCTTATTCCTCTCAGGGCCTCCCAGAATTGTCCTGACAAAGATTTCTCAGCTGCGGACCCTAGGTGGCCTCCTGGGAACACTCCTGGGGACCAACTCACCTGAGGCCTGCTCCTGGCTCCTGCCCTTGACAGGCACCTGGAGTGCCTCTCTTTCAAGAGCCCTGCCCTTCTCTGGCCAGGCCAGGGAAATGCCAGGGGGAGGGGAACCGGACCTAGGCATTCTGGAGGTGGGTCAGCTGTCTGAGCCAAGCACATTCTTTTATCTTGCTCATCCCTGGCTCAGGTCATCCCTGGGTCGGTCTGGATCAGGAGTTCCTGGTCCTGGTGCCCTCTACCCCCAACCCCTCACTTTGTAGGGGCCAAGCCTGGGCTGAACAGCTTCCACGCAGCATCTTCATTTCACCCCTCCCCACCCCCCCTCCTCAGTGGATGCTGCCATAGAGGGCAAGCTATTTGTTCAAGGTCACACTGCTAGGAATTGGAGAACATGGGCTTGATACCAGGGCTCTCTGGCTCTGAAACCTGAATTCATCACAGCCTGCAATGAAGGAGCAGGGTGGGGATCCCCTCTACTGAACCCCGGTTCAGGATATACACGTGCACGAGTGAGGCTGCATGAGCCTCCCAGCCAGTGGAGCCTACCCTTGCACACCCATACCTGGTCAGCCCCTGCTCTCAGTCAGGATGCTCAGCGCCTGCTCGGGTCCCTCATGAATGAATGAGCAGGCCTGGACCAGGACGCAGGGAATTCTTCAGGAAATAGGAAAAACAGGTCCCCTGGCCTGGGACTGCACCCAGCTTCTAGCATTTCTCAGAGCAGGCCGCGCCGTGGGCTCTGTGGGAAGTGGAGGCAGTGTGCACTCTTGGGCTCCTGGTGGCAGAAGTCAGCCAGGCAGAGCCCTCCCAGGCCTGCTTCCAGTGCGCGCTTGTCCCAGTAGGAGTGCCCTCTGCCCACCCGCACTCCCTAGCTGTCCACCCTCGGCTCACGTGGTCCAGGGATGGTTGTTCCCAGTCCCCCTCCCCAGGCAGCCCCTTTCACAGGAGTGTGACTCTGCTGAGGAAGGTCTTCCCCACATCCTGCAGAGCTGAGCTGCGTCTCCAATGCCCCCTCCCTCCATCCTGGTCTGTGCTTCAGTCCCTACAGTAGCAGTCAACACCCTCCTTGCCTGGTATACGCTCGACAGTCCTTACGCCAACGGTTTTGCTCAAGCTATGCCTCTATCTGGAGTCCTCCTCCCTGTCCCACCTCTAATCACTCCCCCCATAGGTATTATAAACACACATGAACACACATGGGCATGGACGTACCCAGATACCCAGAGACATACACAGTCACATTCAGATGTATCCACCGTGCGCGCGCGTGCGTCCACACACACACACCGTCCTAGACGGGGCCTAGAACAGCCTTTAGAAATCACGTGCACCAAACTCCCATTTGACAGAGGAGGAAACTGAGGCCCTGTCACAAGATCGCACCATAGGCCAGGGACAGAGCCAAGACTGGAACGAAGGCCTCCTGGATTCTGGCCCCGGCTCTTGTCTTGTCTGCGAGGCCCTCACACACACCAGGCACAAGGTTTCATTGAGGGGGTGGTTACCTGGTGGAGGGACCCCTCTGGATGTGCAAGTCCCAGCACCCACTAGAACCTCAGACTCATCAGAGGAGAAAAAGGACATCCCCTTCCTTTTTCCATCTGCTTCATTTCCCTACAACGGGGGAGTGGGTCCGAGACAGCTAAAGCCAGGTCCCTGGGCTGGAAGCAAAGTGCAAGCATGCGGGGCAGTGAGAAGAGAGGAGGAGACAGCTGGCTGCGGGCAGGGGATAGGAGGTGTGGCGTGGGGGAAATGCCCCCAGGTCACTGCTCTCCTAGCGCACCTTGTCCCTGGAGCCTCAGGCCGACTCGGGGCAGCCAGCCGGTAGCCATTTGCCAACCTGCTGAAGAGTCCAGTGACCAAGGAAAGAGCTTCACCTTTCATCCCACTCCACCCCATCTTCTTCTCCTTAGGAGATGCCTTCACTTAACAGACGAAGGTGGAGCAGAGCACTTTCTCAAGGCCATTCCTCCCATTTCTGAGAAGGATCTCTACTATCCATCCTTCCACACTATAAAACTCTGATATATCCTTGACACTGCAGCCCTTTCCCAACCGCGTGTAACCCACCGGTCACTCACCGAGCCTTACCAGTTCACCCAGTGCAATGGCCCCAGCCCATGGCCTCAGGCTTGTGTTTCTTCTCCAGACCACTGCACCAGCCTACTCACTTGTCTCCGCGCTCCCACCCCATCCCTACAGTCCATCTTTCATACTGCAGTCATGGGTCTTCCTAAAACACAAATCTGACCATCTGCTGTTGAGCTCAAAGCCCTTCTACGGCTCCCTATTGCCGTCAGGCTAATGTCCAAGCTCCTGAGCCTGGCATTCAAGGCCCTGGCTGACCCAACCCCTGCCACCCTGCTAGACAACTCTCTCTCTCTCTGCCTTCGCCTCATCTCATCTCAAGCACAGCAAAAGCAATCCCATGGGACAGCAATCCCTATCTTTGCTCAGGGATGCCCTCCCTTATCTTCCAACATATGTATCACAACAAGAGTGGAATGCTTTCTCCGTACCAGGTCCGTATTAGGTAGACCTCTTCTCATTTAATCCTGAGAAGCTCAGAGAGGCTAACTAATCTCTCCAGGGTCACAAAGCTAGCAAAATGCAGTCTTGATCTGACTTCAGGAGCTGTGCCCCCTGATCACTACCTCTTACCCTCCACAGCCCAGATCCTCTGCTCCAGGAAGCTCCCCGACCAGCCCTCTTTGAGCTCCATGGCTCTGCCTGTCTGGTCAGTTCTCTGCCAGAGGGAACACCCTAGTGTTCTAGGGCTCTAGGTACTAGAATCTACTCTTCCTGGTATTTCCTCAGAGTGAAGCAGCCCTGATGGTTATTGTACCCATTTCACAAATCAAAACAACAACAACAACAAACTAAGGCTGGAAAGGGTCGCCCAAGATCTCATCCAAGGTCACCAGTGAGTGAGGGGCAGACCACCTGCCCTCTCTACCTGGTTCCACCTCCAGCTTTCTCCTTGTAGCCCCGGGCTAGTTAACGCAAAGCCACGAGGAGTGTCTGAGGCAGTTTCCAGGCTGGCTGCAGAATTTCCAGGGCGGTTGGACAACATTCCAGCTTCTCCACTAGGGCAGCTCCAGAATGAATGCACTGCCCACTCCCTCGCCTATCTGGCTGGCCCTGTCCAGCCTGGCAGGGCAGTGTGACATCACCACTCTGGAAACCCCTGCAACCTGCCTCTGCTGGGGGTGAGGTGCTATGAGGGGAAACAGAGGACCTGGACCCAGAACACCACTGAGGGGCAGGAGAGGGCAGGTGGGAAATCCCAGGGCTGCCATTCCCAGCTGTGGTACCTGGACGAGTCTCAGCTCCATGACCGGAGTCCCAATTTCCTTACAATCTAAGAAGAGCACCCACTGCATAAGGTTGTTGAGACAGTTAAAGGAGATGATTTAGACTCACTTTACGAAATAATTTAAAAAGACATGATTTCAGCAGGTGGGGAAGGCAGGGAGGATGGGAACATCCCAGGAAGACAAGACAGGCAGGAAACCCACAAAAATCATGGGCAGAGTAGCAAGGTCACAGCCAGACTGGCTATAGATCAAGTTTCCCACCCTGAAGGCCATCCTCAGAAGGGAGGGCAGTCCAGGGACCCCGTGCAGGAACGAGACCCCACTATACTCCTTAATTCACTCACCCTTTACAAAGGTTGCCATTTCTATGCCTGTCCCCATGCAGGGCACTTGGGGACTCCAAGGTGGGTTGGACCCTTCTGTGATCTCAAGGAGCTCACTGTCAAGGTTGGAAAGTACAGGGGAGGACGGGGGAAGGCCCAGAAACAGGCGATGACAACTCAGGGTGATCAGGGCTGAAGGAAGCAGAGGCACCAGGGTTGAAGCAGCCAAGAGGGTCCTTTATGGGAATTGGGGGCGGGGTGGTCAGGGAAGGCTTCCTGGAGGAGAGGACACCTGACCTGCATTTTGGAAGATGGAGAGGAGTCAGGTGAGTGGAAAGAGAAGAGAAGCAGAGTGAGCAAAAAACCAGAGCAAGAGATCACATAGTATGTCTCGGGAACAGACAGTCATCCCTGTGGCTTGAGGGAAGCAGAGAGGCAAGGCTGGCTAGGAGGACACAAAGGACCTCGGAAGTTATTCTCCACGCCCCCCCAAATATACCCCACAGGGCTGAAGGCCAATAGTCTCCCCACTTTGCTTGGTGTGCTTTCTGCACCACAAGCACTGGGGCTGGTCTGGGGAAACAGCTGAGGGGTAACCTCAGATGTTATCAGCAGGTGCCGTTGTGTGAAGACTTTGCAGCCTCCCCCAGGAGACCCTTGGGTTTGGCAGCCCCTTTTGGAGGTCTCTCTCCTTCTTGGAAGCCCCTAGAATCCTGGCTGTGGGGGCCACGCACTGGGAGAACATGTGCGTATAGGTCTCAGGTCAACCAGGCTGGCCTCCCACGTTACGGGTCAGGAGACTGAGACCCCTTAAGAGAAAGGGCCTTACTCAAGGTCTGGTGTTCTAATTATATTTAGTGAGGGGTTGGGCACCCTCACCCCCAGCCCTGAGCAGGACTCCAAACTACCTGTCCTTCCTCAACCCAGCACGGCCCAGCCCAGCCCAGTGCTCTAGAGACACACTGCTAACCTGAACCAGTTCAGAACCACAGTGCCCTGGACTCCACCCTGACCTGTCACATCCAAATGCCTCTAGCCAGGCTCAAGAAAAAGAACCCTGAGTTCAGGCTCCAACTTAGAACCACACATGCTGTGCAATCTTGGTCAAGTCAGTTCCCCTCTCTGAGCCTCGAGTTCTTCACTGATCAAATGGGGAGAATCACCACTCTATCAGACAGCTCCTAGGAAATGAGTAAGACAAGGGGGCAGGTGGTGCTCCATGCAGCTAGCAAATCATGCTCCTGTCCTGATGTGGGGGCTGCATCTACCTGTCCTAGCAAAGAGACACAGGAACCCTTTTCACCAGGGGGCCCTCCTGGGTAACCAGGAGGGGGGGCAGAAGTCACGGTCAGAGTAGGCAAGGAAGGCTCTTGGAAGGGGCTGTGGTCAGGTCTGGAGAGAAGTAGGAAGGGTCCAGCCTGGAAGGAAAAGGGGAGAATTGGGAAAGCCAAGGTAGAAAAAAAGTACAAAAGTATAGAACAGGATACAAGTAAGTCTGTGATTCTGAGACTGTCTCACTCTGGGTGCTTCCAGAATTCTGAGTTCATTGGTTCTTTTTATTTTTTTAAAGATTTTATTTATTTATTCATGAAAGACAGAGAGAGAGAGAGAGAGAGAGAGGCAGAGGGAGAAGCAGGCTCCCAAGGAGCAGGAAGCCCGATGTGGGACTCGATCCCAGGACCCCGGGATCATGACCTGAGCCGAAGGCAGACGCTTAACCATCTGAGCCACCCAGGCGCCCTGAGTTCGTTGGTTCTGACAGTCCAATTCCAAGAGTCTCTGGCTCTAAGTGTTTCTTCAGGTCTGTTACTCACTGCCTCTGATAGCCTTTGGTTTTGAGATTCTCAAAACCACAGAAGTCTGGACTCTCAGAGCAATGTAATCATAGATCACTATCCCTGGAGCCACAGAGTCTCAGCAAACACTTGCCAGTGTCCCCATGTGCCCAACCGCAGAGAGACCCCGCAAACCCAGACTCAGATCAGACTTGGTCAGGAGCTCCACTCTGGATGGAGAGAAAGACACAGACATGGACTAGGTCCACTTGGGTGATTAAGCCACGACCAAGGGAAGCCCAGGAGCCACGGAGCCCAGGGGAACTCCTAATCAGCCTGTGGGGGCTGCGCAGAGGTGGGATCATTTGATCTGGGACCTGATGGAAGATTAGGAGTTTGGCAGGTGGACAAGAAAGGGAGGAAGGCACTGAAGGCGGAAAGAAGAGCGTGTGCAAAGACTTAGTGGTGTGCTAGTGTGGCCCTCGGGTCATGTGAGACTGGTATGGAGGGGTTGGTGGCACAGAATGTGTGTGGGCCTGAGGGACTCACATGAAAAGGCTTGAATGCCAGGTTGAGGAGCTCAGCCTCTATCCTGAGGACAATGGGGAGCCATGGCCAGGCTTAAGCAGGGAAGGACATAGTCAGAGTGACCTTGACAATGATGGTGCCACATGCAAAGTGGATAGAACAGAGGGGTCTAAAGGGAGGGAGACCAAGGAGGAGACTACACATGTAATGGTCTAGTGAGAGGCGCTGGTCCCTTAGCCCTGGATTCTCTGAGAGATGGGGAGCATCCTTGCCGGCCCACAGCACAGTCATAGCAAGACTCCTCCTCCCGCAGCTGGGGCTGGGGACGCCGGACACTCACCAGGAAGCTAGAGCAACGCCAGGGGCCTCCCCTGAGGGAGGGGAGCTTGAAGGAGGCTTGAAGGAGGCCCTCCTCCCATGCTCCAGGGCCCAAGCAGTATTGCTACCACTGTAAACCCACGGCCAGGGTGCCAGGGTAGGGGCCCAAGGAGGAAGCAGCTGCCCAGGAGGGCCCAGGCTGCCCACCCTCCCATCAGGGACTCCAGCTACTCACTCTGGACCAGAAATACTCAGGCCTAGGAGATGCTGTAACAGGGGAGTGGAGAAACTCCTCTGCTCAAGCACCAACTGTAGCTCCCCATGGAGCAAGGCCCCCCTCTTCCACTACACACTCACTTCCACACGGTCATTCATTTCCCAAGCACTCCCTGGCACCTGCTCTGTGCCCAGCCTGTGCTGGGTGATACGGATGGAGAGAAAGCAGGCTGGTCTAGTCCTGCAACTGACCTTGAGGATGAGCACAGAGGTCAGGGAAGGCCCCACAGCCAGCCTCGCCCCATCAGGACCGGATGGCTGGGAGAGGCCAGGACTGAGGACCCAAAGGCAGCCAAAGGAAGGTGTGGGTCAAAGAGTGCACCAGCCAGGCCCACAGGAGACAGTTCAGGAAGAGAGAGGATTTCACTAGGAGAGCCTCCACCTTTCTCGCTGGATCAGCGGGGCTTCCCTGGTCCTGTGAGCAGCATGGTTCATCAGGCCACAAGCAAGACCTAAAGTCACGTTTCCCGGGCAAGATTCAAACTTCCTTCAGCCTGAAAGCCAGAGGAGCAGGCCTTACTCAGATGGAACTTCTGTCTTGAACAGGGAGAGGTAAGTTGGGTCAGGGAGGCAGAAGCCCTAGCTTTCACCTCGGCTCTGTGATCTTGGGAAGGAAACTCTGAGCCTCTCATTCCTCATCTGCAAAATGGGGGTAATAATTCCTCTGTCATAGGGTTGGTAGAGGACAAAATAAGGAACTTTTATAAATTGTTCCTAGTAAGCTGCCTCTGCAGAGGGGGCACAGGGGGAGGAAGGCAGTCAGTAGTTAAAATTCCAGTAACTAGCACAACCCCTTGTTACTGCATCCATGTTCTAGTATCTTCAAAACGCATTGAAGTCTCTGAATATCACACTTCTCCCTGTGCGTTGCACTCCACCGCTTACAACGCCCTTTCCTGACTACTGTCTTAAGAATCGTCATAGCAACCTTGCATTTGAAGGTACAAGGATAGTCACATCCAATTTACAGATGGCAAAACTGACACCTAGAGGGGCACCGTGGCCTCTCTAAGGGCTACAGCCAGGAAAGAAGCCAAATCAAAGCACTCACCCATGAGGCCTTGGTGATTTCTCGTACTCTTAGCTGGTCCTTAGCGGCTCCAGAAGCCCCAGAGCCCTGTGCATCCTGGGCAGGAAGAGATAGGAATGGAGGGGTCATACCCTTACTCTGTAGCCCAAGCCTGCCAACCATTTATGAAGGTCGCCCAGTGTGATCCTCCAACTCCTCTGGCTCGACCCCAGGACATTCCAAGGCAGGAAGGAGAGGAGGTTGACAATTCTTTCGTGTGGTGGCCTCTGCAAGCCCATACTCTCGACACAGGACCTGACCAGTGCTGGCCTCCTTTTAAAGGCTGGCAGGGCAGGAACTGCCCCAAGGTCACCCAGCAAGTTGGGGGAAGAGCTGGGATGGGATCAGTTGCAGGTCTCCTGGCTCCCACTGGGGAAGGGAGAGTCCTAAGTGTCCCCAAATTCCTCACCCCGAGCACCTAAGGGCTGAGGGAAGTGTTTGGCTGAGGGATCAAGGGCTCAGAGTATAAATAATGCCTGGATGGTTCTGGTGTCTCTATCTGACCTCCTTGTATAGCACTACTTGATCCATTCTCCACCTGGCAGCCAGAAAGATCTTTCTGAAACCCTGCTTTAACCATGGATGTTCCCTGTCCATAAACCTTTCATGGCTCCCTATGGCCTTCAGGATGAAATCAAAGTTTTCAGCTTGCACACTCTGGGTCTTGTAGTGTCCCAGAACACACTGTTCTGACAACCTGTGTCACCTACCTCAATGACTGGATTCTAGTTCCCTCTACTTTGTGATGACATGGAGCTCCACTGTAGACATGCCTTCCCTGGGAAAGCTGGGGGCAGGGGGGCAGGGGGACAGGGGATAGGGGTTCCTACTGCTCTCTCAGTTCAGCTCAGCCCTGTGCAGGGTGCTGGCAAAAGAGAAATGAGCAAGAGCCACTTTGTGCCCTCCAGGGGGCCCCAGACGTCTGGACCCAGAGACCGTACAGTCCAAGGTGGAACCAGGGCTGTCAGCACTGGGACTTGAAATAGTCAGAAGAGGCTCCAACCCAACTGTGGGATCAAGGAAGGCTTCCCCAATGAGGGGAACTCTGAGCTGGGCCCCAAGCCTGGGTAATTCTCCAACTGAGGAAGATGAGGCTAGGAGGGCATTTCAGGCAGTGCTACACGCCATCACTAGAGGGTGGTGGGTCAGGCAGGAGAAGGGGCTGGAGAGGTTGGCAAGGAGCAGTTCTTGGAGGCCCTGAGTCCCAGGTTAAGGGGTTCAAGCTGGGTCTTGCTAGCCCAGGGAAGAGAATAGCTGAGATATGGGTTTCAGGAGGTTTCCTCCAAGGACTGACCCCACCGGGATACCCAAGCATCGGGCCTACCCAGAAGGACACTGGTACTGAACATGACCCACACATCAGCAACTCAACGGCCCTCAAGTTCCAGAGTACTACTGATCCCCTTTCACAGATGAGGCCACCGAGGCTCAGAGAAGGTCACACAGTGGCCAAGGCAGGACTGGAACAGAGGTTTGAGTCTCCAGAGAGCTTTTGTGGGCCCTATCTGCTTAAAGAATCTCCTTCCCAACCACTCCCACACACAGATAACTGGGACTTAACAGGGCCCCACCCTAGCCTTCAAAAGCTCCCCATTATTCCCGCCTAGAGCCCCAAACAAACCGGGCACCTCAGGCTGCTGGTCCAGGGAAGCTGAGGATGCCATGCTGAAAGGAACAGCACCACCAGCCCCACAGACCCCAAACTGGCAGTTTGAATCCACAGCTGGGCCTGGCCCTTGGGTCTGGCTCCTGGGGAAGGGGGGGACAACCCGCCGCCGTGCGCAGTTGGGGAGAGGAGGGAGGACACTGCCTTTCTTCAATCTGACCCTGCCTACAGCACCGCCTTCCAGATTAAAAGTCCCCTGAGAGAGGCTTAACTGTCCTTCCAGGCCACTGTCCCAACCCCCACCCCCACCCCCAACCCCGCCCCCGCCCCCAGTTTTACGAGGCCCCGGCGGGGTGGGCGCCCAGGGTGCCCCTGGGTTGAGGGGGCGCAGCCGGCCTTCCAGGGGCTCGCGGGTCTCCGGGGCGCTGGCCCACGCCTCGGGGCGCTCCCACCAGAGCACACACACAAACAAGTCCCACAGGTTCAGCCACCCGACCCGCCGGGGCGCACGCACTCCCCCACTGATACTCAGACTTTCCCAAAGACGCCGACCCACACTCACCGAGGTATCCGATCGCGCTCCGGGAGCTGGACGCGCCGCTGGAGACGGAGCCCGACCACGGCCCCACCGGCGCACTCGCACTGCTCCGAGCCGCGCGCCACTCGGACGACCACGCGCACGGCTCAGCCGGCCCAGCGCCGAGGGGGCAGCCGCCGCGTCCCGGGCGCGCCTGCCGATTCCCCCCGCCTCCGGTCCCTCCAGGCGGCCGGCCCGGCACGTCGGCGGGGCGCTCGGCCGCCCGGCTCCCGCCACCGCCGCCGCCGCCGCCGCCGCCGGGACCCACGTGCCCGGAGCCCCGCCCGCCCCGCCTATAACTCTCTGCCCAGGCCCGGGCAGGCCAGGGCGGGGCGGACTCTGGACACGGGCTGGTACCGCCCCTCCCGCCAGGACGGACCCCGCGCCAGAGGCGCGGCGACACCGCGGCGATACGCGTGCAGCGGGAAGGCGTCGGCGGCTACTGACCTAGCGCCTGGCGGGACGGCGGCCGCCCGCCTGCCTCACACGAGATGTGGGCAGGTTTTCAGAGACACTAAATCGGCGGAGTTGGTCGGCCACCTGTGTGGCTCCTGTCGCTGCGCACCGCGAGACCTTTCAGCGAGCCCGCGCCCTCTCCTGCCAGGTACCTGCTGGGAGCACCACGATGAGAACTCGCCTCCCTGGCTTGTGACCCGGAGGCGGAGGCGGGGGAGGGTGTCCCCATTGCCTAGAGAGGAAATACATTCCGGGTCCTGCGTCTCTCCAGTGCCAGAGCGGACGGGGCTATAGGGGGAGAGCCTCACCTGTGCTCCCTTTCCTGGCCCTGATAGACACTAGAAATTTCCTGAACAGCTGGCTTTTCTTCATCCCTCCTCTTGAGCGGCTTCCTTTGAGCCGCCTTCTCAGACTACACACACACAACACTTCCCTTCTCCGCTTTCAACCCCACTCTGACGGCCTTCTCTGGTCAGGGACTATGTCTGTGCGTTTTCTAGACTGTGAGCCAGCGCCAGGAGGAGGAAGGCCTGCAGCCCGCACCAGCGTTCCCCGGAGTTGCTTAATACTTGCTGAACACTGAATGGATGAATGGATGAATGTCCCCCCTCCCCGCCCCATTCTGGTGTAGGTGTTAGGAGTATAGCTTCAGCGCTGACTCCGGGAGACCTTGACCCCTAGTTCCAGTCCCTTTCGAGGCCTCCTTTTTTGTGACAGAGGCAATCACAGCCTTCATCCATCTGGGGCTTTGGATAGTGGGTGTCTACAAAGTGTAGAGGAAGTTTCTTTCTGTGGCCAGGGAGCTCGCCCAGGGCCGTGGGGCCTTGGGTCCTTCTGGGCTCCGGGTCAGCTGACTGAGGTCTGGCTCCTGGCCCCCGGAGGGGCCCAGAAAGGGCCCAGGAAGGATACTGGCTGCAGTCTTGCCAGGAGCAGAGTGGACACACAGCCCTGTGTGGCTGAGCCGCCTCTGCAGTCCCCTGGGGACCTCCTCCTGGAAGGCACAAAGGCCTCTTGTCCAGCTTCCTCCACCTGTCGTCCAAACTGGCCCATGCAGCTTCTAGGGGCTAGGAATCCTATGGCTCTCACTTATGGAGCCGAGGCTCGGGGTCCCAATGTGGGGAAGTCCCCTGGTCACTGGAGGCCCCAGCCAACACCCCTTTCTCCTTTCTCTCCCAAGCCTTCAGACCTCTACTGTAACTACCACTAAGCTCAAGAGAAAAAATTCCTTTGATACCAGGATGAAGATCTGGGGCTCTGCCTCAGTCTCCAGCCGCCTGGAAAGTGGGTAGCCAGAGTCCTGCTCCTGCTCTAGTGCAACGCCCTTAACTTTACAGTCAAAGAAACAGCATTCCTGAGACACCCCAAGGCAGAGCTCCCACAACAAGTGACTTAGGCCTGAGAAACAGAAGAAAGGGACATGTCCTTGAACTCTACAGGCTTGGGGTCTTGCCTCACCTCTCCTATGACTCTGAGCTTCAGTTTCTTCTTCTGCAAAATGGTAATAATCGCTTTCTCACTGGCCTGACTGAAATTCTTTTTTTTTAGGGTTTTGCCCATCCTCCTGAGCTGCCCGGGTTTGAAGGGTTAGTATCCCTTCTAATGAGGGGCTGGAAATCTGGGTCTCTTGACATGTTCCCCTGACACTGTCATCACTGGGCTTGAGAGATCAAGTCCAGCAGGTTCCAAATCCCCTAGCTGAGTACCCCCCTACTTGGGGTGGCCTCAGGAGCCCCGATCCACTGCAACCTAAGTGCCCTTATTTTTATCTTCGTACTTATTTACATTTCCTGGCAATAGTCTGTTGAGAAAATATAGACGTTTCTGTGGCTAAAAGACTTTATTATTTATTTATTTTTTTGGTAAAGATTTTATTTATTCATTTGCGAGAGAGACAGAGAAAGAACAAGCAGGGGGAGGGGCAGAGGGAGAGGGAGAAGCAGACTCCCCGCTGAGCAAGGAGCCCGATGCAGGACTCGATCCCAGGACCCTGGGATCATGACCTGAGCCGAAGGCAGACGCTTAACCATCTGAGCTGCCCAGGCGCCCTGTGGCTAAAAGATTTTAGACCCATTGACCCCCGCCAGGAAATTGAGGCTCAATAAGTCCCACAACAAGCCCTACACAAGGCCCTCTCTGGAAGGTCGGAGGGGCCTCCAAGGAGCCTCCCTGGAACCGAGCAGCCCAGGCAGACGGGTGGTGCAGACCCAGGCACGTCATGGTCCCCAAGAGGAGGGTTAATGGAGCCATGGGAGGGAGCTGGTTGCGGGGTTCCATTAGCAGCAGCAGGTCAGGATGGGGAAGGGTGAGCCCAAGAGCACTTCTCCCCATGCATTAGGAGGCTTCCTGTCTCTCCGACCCTGAGGAGGCTCTTGGCGTTCTTAAGCCTTCTCATCTTCCGTCTGTCTACTTCTCTCATCTCCCCCGAGAAAACTCTCTGCTCTGAGAATCGGTGCTGGGAGTGAAAGCCCCTGCCCTTGCTCAGCGGGGATACTTCCAAGCCCTCCTTCACAGGCCAAGGTGGGGTACTTGTCACCCCTCCCAGCCATCACCTGCCTCACACCTTCTGTGGCTCCACCACCTTCTAGAGAAAGCCCACCCCTGCAGCCCGCCACGCCAGGCCCTCCCACGTCTCCGCCTCACTCCCTGCCTCAGCCAGCCATGCTGCAGTGTGGGGCCCTTGCTCGCTCCTGCCTGGCACTTGCTGCCCCCCTTGCCTGCAGTGTCTCTTCATGCTTCTCTGCCCTCGACTCCTTCTCTTGCTCCCCGCCCCATGGCTTCTCTGAGGCCCAGCCCAGGAGCCCCATCAGGTACCTCCCTTTGTCACACCATTTACCCCATGGTTAGCTTCCCCTCTAGTGGGCGTCTCTTTGAAGACAGAGCCAGGGTCTTCCTGTTCACGGTTAAATGCCCAACACCTAGCACTGTCCCTGTCACCGGTCAGCCCTCATGAATATTTGTTATGTGAGGGAGTAGGAACTTGATTTATGATCACCTTTGTGCTGCTGGTCATTGTGTGCAAGTATCTCCTTTAATCTTCCCCAGAACCCTGTGAGGTAGGTGTTATCATGACTGTTTTACAAATAGGGAAACTGAGGTTCAGGAAAGGGAAGTGAATGTCCAAAGTCACAGTGAGTCTGCGGTGGGTCCCCCAACCCTGGAACTCCCAACCTGCTGGGAAGGAAGGCCCTGCTGAATTCCCGGAGCGATGGCTGAGCCATGGCGTTGGGACCCACACTGGTGGTTCCGGTTACATAGGGCTGGGCTGGCTCCAGCAGCCTGCTCTTGCTCTCTGCACTGCTGCATCAGCCTGGACCATCCTCCCTCCCTCGTCAGCCGGCTGGGAACCCAGGCTCCTCAGGTTTCCCAGGCAGGGGCCAGGTCCCTGATGCCAAATGCAAACTAGATACTCTGGCTCTTGGCATGCCAGGATGCAGGCACCCAGAGGAGGCAGCCCAGGAGGCAGGAAGCCTGGTCCAGACCCGGGCAGGCCTCCCTTCCATCTCTGCACTAGCAGGACCAGCTACATAATTTGTGGGACCCAGGGCAAAATGAAGATGCCCTTGTTCAAAAACTGATAAGAATTTCAAGATGGGACAGTAACGCAGTAAATCAAGTGCAGGGCCCTTCAAAGCATGGGGCCCTGCGTAACCATATAGGTCACACATGCAGGAAGTCAGCCCTGTCTTCAGGCCTCGGTTTCCTCATTTGTCAAAAGGGAGACTGACAGCCATGTGGCCAGGAAGTAGACAGGCTAGGGTTGGAGATATAAGTAGGAGGTTCATGGTTCAACATCCATGGTTCAACATCCATGCTGGGCAGGGGTCCCTATGGACAGCATCTGTTGCTTAGGTCTCAGCACTGGGTAGCAGATCAGTGCTTGCCAGGGGTTTGATTCCTCACCCAGCGTCTTTTCATGGACCCAAAAGTAAGGCTCAGACAAAGAAAACAACTTGCTCAGGGTCATATAGAGATTCAGTGGCAGAAGCCAAGATAGAGCCCTAGCTATCTTTCTGCAAAACTGGTACTTCTGTGACACGGGAGAGAGAGAGAGGGAAAGAGAGAAGGGCAGGAGGGAGGTGGGGGGGTGGCTGCTCAGGACAAAGAGGGCCACTGTGTAGACACAAAGGCCTGACCACAGAGGCCCCTGCGTGGGCTGGGCCAAATGGGTGGGTAGAAAAGCCCCATGGTGATCGAGGGAGGTGCCAGGAGCTGCCTCCCAGACCCTGGTTGTGATGGGGATGGAGGTGCCACACAGGAGCCAGGAAATAGATCAAGGAGGAGAAACAAAGAGGGCTGAGCCCCCCCCGCCCACAGCCCCAGGCCTCCAGGGCCAGAACTGCACACCCTACTTTTCCCTGGCTCCTCCTGGACAGCCTGCCAACTTAAGGAATCCCCCCTTCTACCACCCAACACCCCATTTTCCCCCACCTCGGTGAGGGTGAGGCTCAGGCAGCTGACCATCTGACAGTCCCAACTTCACAATCTTGCTCAGAAACTTCTGGCTAATCTCCATCACCCACAGGAGGTTGAAGCATAGGCTTCTCGGTGTATCATTCAAGGCCCTTTGTGACCTGACCCATGGACCTTTTCACGCTCCCCAGTCACCACTCCCCATTAGCCCTCTACACCCTGGTCATGTGGGAAGTCCCAGATTTCTTCAAAGCACTTGGTGTTTTCACACACACACACACACACACACACACACACACACACACACCCCTGCGTTTGTTCATGCTTTTCCTCCTTCCTGGAGTGTTTTTCCCCCTGACCCCTGCTGGCTGAGCTCTTTCTTCCTCACGAACCAGCTCAAATGCCCCTTCAACCAGGCAGCTTTCCTCACCCCCCACAGTGGGACTTAAACTTCACTCTGCCACAAATGTTGGATTTACACACATTCTCTTGCTTATCCCTCTCCGGCTTGAGCCATAGTTTAGGTCCACGAAGCCTACCTGGAGGAGGGGCATTTGAGCTGGGCCTTGAAGGGCAGGTGGACATCACTAGCAGACAGCAGTGGTGGGCAAGGAACAAGAGCTCAGGGAACCAGGGATACCACCCCTCTCTCAAACATTTTAGCTGAATCAATCTGTTTGGTTCCTGAGTTCAGAAAGCAAGGGGTCCATAGTTCAGAATCACAGGAGTCGAGTTTCC